CGTATAAAGCCCGCCCTGACAATTTGATTGGCCCGCCAGATATTGTGCGAGCATACTCGCGCTACTGTTGAGCAATGCCAGATGGAACTTCCCGACCTCAAACGTTGTGGGCGGGACTAAGTTCGGAATGGCACCCAGGCTAACTGTATATACCCCCCTGCACATTTTCTTCCTTTTGGCCCATTCTTCTTCTTCTGTTTGCTTTTTGAGCCGATGTAACGAGTATATTTCTCCATTCTGAGATCAATAAAGTCAATCAATCAATCAATTGGGGTCTCTAATGATCAGCTGGGGTCAAGTTATTCATTATGTTATAAATGACAGATCAGTTGCTCCCAAACTTTAAAAAGCCTTCTGAAGTAAAGATCTCCATCGTCTCCATTTGAACAGTTTAAAGCGACAGAGCAAGAAAGAGGGGATCTAATGTGGTTTAATTGCTCCTTCTGTTTGTGCTGAGAAACGAGTGTCTTTGCATCGTTTTGAATCATATCGGACTTTATCTTTCACATAAACTTTAATACATAAACTTTAAACATATTGTTACAGTGTTTTTTAAATGACAATAAAAATATTATTGTTAGCTGGTTAGCCTGGTCACTAGGGCTGAGCGATTTTTCTTTGCACTAACCCCCAACATGTAGATATTTCACCCCCAGATTTTACTGACTTTACTGTAACCAATGTATAAAAACGTTTTTATTTCTACTTTCATCCACGATCTGCTGCTAATCTCTCTACTTTTCTGAGTGACGACAAACACACCTCAGGCATTTAATCACCACCTAAAGGCCTGTAGGGAGAAATTTAGTGTTTTACTCTTTTTGAATATGGTGTGATTAAGAATAAGTGATATTTTTTTGTTAAATTGTGATAATTTTACAAATGTAATTAATTGCTCAATCCCACTGGTCACTGAGTTCATCAATAAGAAAATCTCACAGTTTTTTTTACACTTGGAACTGGAACACAGTAATGATGACGTGGATACAGCTTCTATGGAGTGAAATCTGCTCCATTTTGTCTCAAACAAAGAACACATTTTACAAATGGAAAACAAAAAAATGCAATCCAGAAAAGAACGTTTGAAAATAATTTAAGGTTAATAATTGAAGGTTACTTTGCTACTTTCTTAAATTTTGTTTTTCAGATTCTTTTTTCTTCAAATCTTACTTTTTATACCTTATTTTTCCTAAACCATTTTTTTGGTTTTCCAAATTTCATTTTCTTTATTTCTCTTCTAAAAATTGAGTTTTTTAAATTCAAAATGTGCTTCACAATCCTTTCAATCAAGTCTAATGCAAGCACTCACTCTGGCCAATGAAAATCTTGCTTTAACATCCATCAGACCAATAGAAATGCATCTTCAGTCCTCCTTCAGAGGAAAGCCCGCCCCCACAAGTAAAGCGAATGTAATCAATAAAACGCAATTTGAAAATACTGGAATTTGTTACATGCAAACAGAAAAACAGAAAAAAAATAAATAAATAAACTTGAAAATCAAAAAAGTATTTTAAACAAACTAGGAAAAAAAAACACAATCTGAGGTGGTGGGGGGGCTATTTACGCTAAATTCACAAAACGTGTTCTTTGCTCATAACAATAAAGGAACAAAATCCCCTCCATTACTTTCCCCATCTAAATTAGGGCCTCTAATGAAACAAGAGGGAAAAAAAGTATTTACCAGCAAAAGTTTCCTGTGAAAAAATAAATAAAATAATCTAAACACCAATAAAGGAAGATGAAGTATCACCGCTGACACTTCCATCCCTGCTTCAGAACCAGAGGTGGAGTTTCTGCAGCCATATTGAAATGAATGTCATTTCTTCGGGTTTTTGGGGTCTCAATATTTAAAAGCAAAAAAAATAAATAAAATAAAAACACATTGAACTGTTCTATTATCACAGCTCTGGTTATTTCTACTGTATCTGCTCATTTAGCAAGATCAGCAGCACTCACCTTCTTGGAGCAGAAGTCCCAGATAGAGGGTGGCTAGATGCTCCTCGTCTACAGTGACACTGATCTCCAGCTCGCTAAGCAGCTCAGGATCCAGCCAGAAAGACTGGTCACACAGGAAGTTCTCCAAGCATCGAGCGACATAACCTGCAGCATGAAAACAAATAAAAATAAAGATAAACTGACCTTCATTCAGTTCAGTATAAATTCATAAATTCATTTAAATAAACTAAAATCAGTATCTCTATCAATAAAACCTGACTTAGAATGGAATGATTAAAAAAATCCTTACAGGCCTGTAAATAAAAATCTAAGCTGAATATCTTTCTGAAGGAAGTGGAACCATTCCTACCTAATGAGAGGTAGGTTGAAAACTTCCAGACTTCCTCCACCGTCTTAAATGTGAGGACAAAGCTGTCCTTCTCAGCATGGACAGAGACTAGACGAGCAGAAAGGTCCTGAAGAGAAAAGGTTTCAGCTTCCAGTCATCTATGCAGATAAATGTCCCTCTGCCTTAGTATGGAGTGAATATTGGTACAAAAAATATATTGTGTAAATGGAAATTTGAAATCCAGGAATAAAATGTTTAGAAACTTAATCAAAAAAAGTTTTGAGAGTAACTTTATTTCTATACTTTATATATGTTCAAGACATTTTTTTTTCTATTTCTCTTTTTCAGATTGATTTTTACAAATTGCATTATCTCCTGTACTTATGGAACCATTATTTATCCTGCAATTGCTGCTATTGCACTTCTGGTTAGACCTAAACTACATGTGTAATGACAATAAATGAATGAATCTAATCTAATATATTATTTTTAATAATATATTCTCTTCATTTCTGAGGGCAGATATTCCTCCGAGTGAGGAGCGAATATGCATTTTAAATTCACGCACTTTGCAATCGAGTAAAAAATATATATACTACTAATTAAATTAAAATCTGTAAAAGAAAGTTGAAAAGAAATAAAAACTACAACCTAAAAAAAAAGTTACACTCAAAACCTTTGTTTTAAAAAAACAACAAATATTTTTGCGAAGTTTCATTTCTGGATCACATTTTTTTCATAATTGCCATTTACAAAATTAGATTTTTGCTTCCAACAATAATGGGACCAATTTCACTCCATATCCAAGCAGACTGATTTTTAAAAAAAATGCTTTTCAAAATAATAATAAGAGCGATAAAAATCATCTGATCTTACTTTGAAGAGCTGCGTGATGTCCTTGCTGTTGCTCTCTACAACTCGGAGGCGTGTGCGCAGCGCCTCCTGCAGGGACTGGTCGGGATCTTCACTGGAACGCCTCCGGCCCGTAAACAGCAGCACAATTTCTATGTAACAGACAAGCAAAGTTTGATCAGCAGCGTTCATCTGACACTTCCTCTTGCTGTAGTTCTTGTCACAACATATAAAAAATAAATAAAAAAACAACAGCTGATGAAATCAAATTTTCTACATTAGCAAGAGTTCACTTTTCTAGATACATATAATATTTTAGGTGCTCTATGAGAGTCTTGTGTTATTTGCTTTGTCTGCAGAACAGCCGTCCCAGGAGTAATAGGGAAGCCATTAGGCCTCTTACTGGACTCAATCTAAATCCATTTCTGTAGACGAACCTGGCGGGATGTGATGGATGAAGCTAAATTGCTGACTGAGTAAACATCAGCAGACATGATTCATCAGAATTTATTTCATTCCTGAGATGAAATCCATGAAAAACATCACATAGATGAATATTATCATCACCACTTTAGATGTTTTAGGAGCAAAGTAGTTTGTCAGGATGGAAAACCCAACAGGTGGGGGAGGGACTGAGGTGCAGATAAACGGTACCTGAAGAGAATTTCTCCCCGACTGAAATTTTACTTCCCCTGAGGAAGGCCTCTTTCTTCTTCCAGTAGTTGTCATGTTCCTCTTCCTCTCCTGGATCGCCAATTCGGCCATCCTCTTCCTCACCTGTTAATACAAAAGAGTCGAATCTAAAGCTTGATTTTTTATTTTTTTTTTTGGATCAAGACGACAGAGATAGATTTAAGCAGCCGAGTCCCATAGAGATTACTAACCTCTTTATTAAGGGGAACTCTGCGAAAAATAGGAGCTTAGATCATAACAAATTAGCACAGACAATTTCATAAGAGTGTTATAAGACAATTAGAAAAAAAAAAAAACATCCGAACTTTAATTTACAAACGTTTGAGAAAATTTTGAAGGCAGGGAGCTTTTGTAAATTGTTCCATCTGGGAGCAGAATACTGCAATACCACCTTAACAGTTTATGGCATTTGTTGCAGACTGCAGCAGTGATCTTTGTGGGTAAAATAATAAAGTTCAGCTGCTTTTGATTGAATATATTTAACATATTGGAAAAGTTTTTATTGTCGAAGAGTATTTTTTTTAGTAAGATAAAATGTAAATTCTGAAGGTATCTTGTGTTTTTCTTCTTCTTGTGAAAAAGAAAAATTAGTATCTGTCAGCACGCCCTCCTCCCTCCTGTGGGGAACAAACGGGTCAATTGTCCCAGGATAGAGGGGGGGCCAAAATTGACACTCTGACCGTTAAAAATACAGACAGAAGTAATTTTTACAGACAGACAGACAGATAGATAGATAGATCTGCATTAGCAATATGTAATATTTTTTCTTTAAATAAGGGACCATTAGAACTTCCCCCACACCAACATAAAATGGTTTGACCAGGGCAACAACGGGCTGCAACTTTTAAAGTTTGTTTCGCTGCAAACTAAGAATGTCAGGTTTTCAGAAGTCCGGCAAACAGAAAAAATAAAGAAAAAGAGAAGATGATACGAAAGGCTGTAGGGATTTTAGGAGTAAATATTAAAAATAAACTGAGGATGAGTGAGGAACGGGTCCAGGAATGGAATAGCAGAAGAATGATGCCCATTGCCAGCTAGAAACAATGAGTTTATCAGTGTGGTTTTAAAGTATAGCATCCGCTAGCTGGTGTTAGGGGGGAAAAAACACCTTTTCTTTTACAGAAATACTTCAACTTGGTGTCAAAAGAGCAGAAATATGTAAGGGGGGGAGCAAAAAGACTGTGCTGACCGGGGTCAGTCCTAGAGTCGTCCCCATCTTCACCTGATTTCTGAGACTCTGCATGCACCTTTTTTCTTTTTTTGCCAGTTGTCGACTGGGTCTGCAACGCTTTTAATTTAGCCCAGTGTGAATGAGGGTGTGGGCTGTGGACATTTTAGTCACACTGACATTTTGACTTGTTATAAATTTACATTCAGCTTATCCA